GGTCCAGCGAAACATCAAAAAGATGAGTTCGTATCAAAACTTTTGTTTGCGTCTACTGACATGCATCCTAAACCATTGGCAATTTTTAAGCCAAGTTATAATTGTATAAAAGACTGTTATTTACTCAACCTTTAAGAGATTATTTTTTTACTTTATGTTTTACTGCTATTAACTTCTCTATACACTCCTATCGTCAACCCTTAACATTTCTCTTATAACCCTATCAATGATATTTTAATGATATGATATTTGCAGTAGTTCAATCATTATTTATTTTGTGCAAGCTGCTAGACAAAACTATCATGGTCAAAGACGGAACGTCAAGTTAACGCTCTGTAGAGCTTTGTTAAAGTCTACAACATATTTTATTACAGCTATTAATTCCGTGTATATTTTTGGGTATTTTGTGTAGGCTATACCTTTAGATGTTGATTTCAGTGATATTGTGTTTGTCTAGGTTTCTACATTAAAATATTATAAAAACCAATATTTATTTTGATGTTGTCTAGCAACCTTATATCACTCTGTTTTGTAGGAAAAAAAATACATTGTAGCCATTTTACTTGTTTCCACTTTGTTTTTCTCCAAAGTTCTCTATCTAATCCTCGTATCTGGGAGATAACAGGATACAGTGATAAGCCGCCACCTGGGAGGATTACGGAGCTTTTTGTCACTTTCTACCACAACAGTTTTACTCAGGTGCAAAAACGCCGGGATTGTAACAAAAAGATTTGAAGAGCTGTAAGATTTAACCGTCGGATCTTAAACCAGCCTTTCTACAATGTTTCAAAATTGTGGGGGGACGGTTATTTTGTATAACAAAATTTCTATGACCCTTATCACTGTTTCGTTCTGTAACTAGTGCATGGGTAATATGGATACAGTTATTTAATACACTCTTTACTCTAGGTCCTTTTGACGATATTCCAATAGTAGGGAGAAAACTATTACACAGTAGGTGGCATGGTAAAACCTAGACCAGGGATCGATTTACTTTTTTAAGTTTTTAAGTTTGTGTGTCCGTAAACACAATAGCTCGAGGATTTTGGTCCGATTTTCATTTGGTAATTTGCAATTTGGAATGAACGTGAAGGGCTGGGTCCACTTGTATTAATTCGTGAACCAAAAATGTCAAAAGGTTTCATATAAAGGGCATGGGAACGGGAGTGTAAGCGGTTTTTAAATTTTCAAAAATCGAGGTTTCAAGTTCTTACAACTAAAACAAAAAGTGCTAAATTTTCAATGAAACCATTGTGTAAAGCCTAATGAATCAAAAAATGTTTATATTGAAGCTTTTTTCTTATATAGAAGCAAAACCTCATTTTCGGCCCTAGGTACTAAATATACTATTAATCACATTTCGTAAGTTCGTTCCATACTACGATAATGACATAAAAAAACACACTTTATTATATTCCCTGACGCAGCAAACCTAAATACTCATAAAAATTAATGTTATTTAAATATGAAATTATGGCAACATTTTAATGAAAATCTGACCATGTAAACGGAAATTCGCTTATTCTGTGGGTTTCCTGCGGCTAAGGTATTTGTTCTGTTTCACACAACGTCAAATGCCTTTCTTAGTTTGAGGATCTGAGGTTTTCTGCAGCGATAGTGAATTGTCGTAACGGTTATAGTTTGTATGATATAACCTGTCTTGTGGTCCACAATCTTCTTTTGGACCGGCTATGGCTTAAAGACCAGTCCAGTCTCAGGTTAACGGTAGATCAGGAGACAGGTTCCATCATCCAGACTATAGTCATAGTGTCAGACTATTGGTGACTGTAGAAATACGGGACATGTAACCGCTCTCGAACCAGTTGCATGGCTTATCAGTTCAAGAGGCTTATCATTTCTCCTACTTTATTTTTAAACTGGATCAATATTGAAAAACCAAGGAATTACACTTGTGCTGAAAATGAACTTAATTCTTGACTTATATTTATTCAGTTTTTGAACCATTAGTATTCAACATACTTTATTTTTGTTTACAGTCTTGTACATAACTATAAATGTTGGTATAAAACCAATGGGACGTAAGAGGTAAAACAAGACATTTGTATACATTTATGCAAACTTCATCAAAATCGGGACAAAATTACTCAAGTTATCGAGTTCAGGGACACATATAAAAAATTTAACCAATATTGCTATGGTCTCAAGGACGCCAAAATGAAAAAGTCAATCAGTTTCGAGTCTAGGTCAGTCTGTGCAATCTACAGTAATAATTATTTAAGGCAATTTGCTAAAATTAAATATCCAGCACAATATATTTTGTAACGCCCATGTAATAACAGGTTAACAGGTTACATTTCCTAAGAACCAATCTAATACTAAATGCCAGCCATGGGAAACTGTTGTTTGATATTATTTAACTTTAGCACAACTCTTCCATATAATGAGTTTAAAACTAGCTAATTACGCTATAACGTATCCAATAACACCAGTAATTTATAAAACACACGCCCGTAACGTAGCATAACGCTACGGTAACGCTATAACGCTGTTAGCCAACGTTAGTCAGACCACCTCGAAGACCAGACCGGAAGCTGTAAATATCACAGTTTTGGATCAAACGAGTTACTGTGATTTATAGCCTAGGCTTGCATTGAACATCAAACATCTCGGAATGAGGTTAGCTTTACAGTAAGCATCTGCACGCTTTGTACATTCAAGTGCAGGCTGCATTTGTTCACTTCATGTTTATGTTGACATACATATGTGATTGTAGGAAAATAGGTTATTAATCATTGAAGGTGGTAGAATAAGTTATTTAGCTGCCCGACTACTTTTGCTCGGGATATGCTTTAGTTTTGTTTTAGGTTGCCTCAGAATATCTAATGGATTAAATTAAACTGCATACTTCTCTTGCTTACTTAATGCCACAATGATAATTTTGTAATGTCAGTTGTCTTTGTTCCTTACAGCACACATATAAAATTAATACAACATTATCTCCAAACCTTTTCACAAATTCGTTGAACTATTTTTTATAAACATATAGCTTAATGATGATAGCAATAATTTCGCTACAGAAATTTTTATAATGGTAATTTCGAGTATAAACCGACTATAATATGCGAGAAAGCTACCTATGTTTTATATCTCATTGAAATTCGTCCAACAGTTTCAAAGAGATTTTATTTTAACATATAATGTAATTTAAGTTTTCTAACGCAAAAACCTCTGAGACAAGCCAACTTTCAAATCGTTCCAAGCAAAACTCAACACGAACTCAATATGAACTACCTTCTTTATGAAATTACACGTATAATCACATTTTATCAAACCTTTTCCAGAATGTGGCAATCAGAATATTTTTCTTCCTTATATTTTTTAACCTGGTCTCTTAGCACTTACATACAAAAATGAATATGATCCAAAACTATTGCAAACTGTTCACTACTTTACATTTACAAAACACAATACTTTATTTAGTTTTTAAACAGTTTAACATAATCAGGCACATTTGAGTAAGGATTGTTAATTATCATTTTTGAAATGTCCAAAATCAAGATAAACACTTTATAAGTGGCATTATAGACTTTACGGGAAACGTATGGGTTTGATGGGATTATAAGTATCAACCATATGATACGATTATGGGATATTAGCTAATCGTTGTGAAGCTATAACCTGCGATTCGGAATGCCATTTCGGTCGTTGGTGGATTTAACATTCAAATGTGATGCAACTATAATCCGTCTAATTATGTGTTAAGCCTCCTGGTAATTAGTTCTTATCGATGAGAGTAATTCAATTAATTACTGAAATTTCCATTGTATAATTTTCTCAGTTCTAAACAGAATGGTGTAAGGTTTTTATAGAGTAACTTTCTGTTGTGAGTTTCCAATTGTTCATGTTTTTCAAAAGATTAAAATATATACGTGGATTGTTTTATAATTCACCTTGTTATTCATTTCTATAAAATGTCCTTTCATTTGTATAAGGGATTTTTCAAAACTGTATAAAACATAAGAAAGTCCGGAAAGAAAAGAATAGACTAATTGGCACGATTGATACAAATAGAAAGTGGTAACTGACAATTAACACGTCTGGACAAGATGGTAGCTCAAACTAGACTGCTCTCTTTGGTTTTTGGCAACCTGCAATTTTCTGCTTCTGTAACGTTACTAAAACCAATATCCAATGAGCAACACTTTTTGTTTGACATTAAAATAAAATTTAAATTCTATCCACAAACTTCTGTTACAGTAAAACTGCACCAAAGAGAATTAGGTTATGTTTTATGGCTCAAGCAATATTCCTCAAACAGCTGTTCAACAATAAGTGCCAAAACTGCAACTAGGAAACGAATCAGCCAATCATTCAAGAAATGCATTTACATTGGAAGCAAATTGGTAACCTTTTCGCTGCAATTTTCTTTCAACAAACTTTACTAAATGGAAATTAGTACAAAGTACTTTCAAAACTTGCTTATTTAATTGTGTAAGTTTTTCTCTTAGTGCATTTATGCTCGGCTAGTAATAATAAACGTCTAAATCTCTTCGTCGGACATGTACATTGGTAAAAAGAGGTTTAGTAGCTATCCATAATTCAATTTAGGATATTTATTTATTAGGATCTATTCTATTTTATAGCAGAAACACTAATGTTGAAGTATAAGCAAGCAAGAGGCAAATATGATTTTTCCATATCAGCTAACCATTACAAAGCTGAAAGGTGAATGTTCTGCACCTTGTAGCGAATGTGGCTCAGATGAAGATGCAAATACCAGCGAATCCGAAAATGAGAGTGTAATTGTCAGAAATGGCATATATATATCAGGATTTCATCACAAGTTAAAAGGAAGAACCATAAGGAATTATTTCAAGAAATATGGTTTTGTTTCAAGCTGTAGTGTTTACAAGGAATATGGAAAAGTTATTTTTGAAAATCCTGAATCAGTCAAGACTGTGCTTCAAGAAGAACATTTAATTCATGGGATTCGAGTTAAAGTAGAACCTCTTAGGCCTAAAGCTGTTTCACCAAAATCAATGGAGCAAGAACAGCTTCACCCAGATCTTACAAATGTACTGAGATCCATTTACAGTCTAGAAGCTAAGATTTCAGAAATTCTCTCTGAGATGCAGCGAAACTACTTGGAAAACCAGCAAAAAAGTATCATGATCCAAAGTGACTTGTCCGCTTCGCTTCCTGGCTGCAGAGTTCTATTTTTCGGCTCCCAAGTCACCGGGTTTGCCACCAGCAAAAGTGACTTTGATCTCTACATTGATTACGATGGAAAATCGTTCTACCATGACTTGAGCTATGACAAACAATGTGACATTATGCATCAATTCCAGCTGAAACAGCGTGGGTCCAAGTTTGAAGTGACTGCAGCTATCAAGCACACCAGAGTGCCTATCATTAGGGTGCTTCACTTGATGACCCATACTAAGTGTGACATATCTTTCCGCAACGGACTGGCAGTGGAGAATTTTCAGTTGATCAAGCTGTACGGATATAGACCCTCGTGTCCGCTGGCTGGTAGTCACAATCAAGCTGTGAATGGAGATGAACATCTTATTCAACCGTTTGGCTTGTGCTCTTCTATCTCATGCGACTGCCGCGACACCCTCTTGTGTGCCCTGTTACGACCTTACAGGAGAACTGCAAAACACACTATGTCGCAAAGTGGGATTGTCGGTTTCATCGTGTCATGAGAGACGTGAGTGTTTACTTCAAAACTTGCTGTCGAGAATCAAACCTGGAACTGCTCGCCAACTTCTTTGAAACCTATGCACACTTCCCCTTCAGAATCACAGTCATGTGCCTTTTGAATTAAGTCGCAAACAATTCAAGGATCTGGGAGATCTTCCAAAAGAGTTCAATCCATATGTGGACAAGGCTCCATTTTTTCATGCCCTGCTTGAGTACAACGTTTAATTTTTCACGCACAGTTCATAAATAGTACAAAAAGTGGTCACAAATAGATTTCTTTCAAAACTATAATCAGAGTTGGCCATACATTATTTTTGCATTTATTTAATGATAAACATATTATCTTATGTGGTTATTATCTTTATTGCAGTTTTCAGGTTAGTGGCGTTTGTAGAGGGTGTGATTTGTCGGTTGTATAACTGATTTTGTTCTTCAAATTATTTAAAAACTCTTGTTATTAAGAAAAACAGCATGTTTTCAGGTGTATTGATAGTCAAAGATTATAGCCAAACATAAAATAAATAAATACCTAATCTACGCTTTAATAATATAATTCTAAACATTAAGAATTAAGAAGGTGTAACAAACTTAAAAAATTTTGATATCGATAACTTGTTGAGAAGATATCGATGCAATATTGAAACCATACAACTATTATATGCAATCGATTTTGCAGATTACAAAGAATCGCAGGTACTTCATATTAAAGACTTTAAATACGGGATCTAGTTCAAAGTTACCTGAAATGCACAATTGATTACAACGTGTGCGACATTTAAAAAGAATAGAACACTAGTTTCAAACGGAGAATTGGCATCCTAACACTATCAATGCTAATATGTTGAATTGGGTGGGCTGTATGGTTGAACCACCGCAATGTGTATGTCTAGATTACACATCGGCGGTTACAGTAGTGGAGTTCAACCATCAATGTATACTGTCCACTCGGACCTTATATACATCGATCGTTCTATCAACCAGCAGCCCTGAAAAAATATATATATTTAGAAAAATATATATGTAAGTATTACGGCCATTACGGGTTTTGGTTGGCGCCCCCGCTAGCGCCGGTTGATCAACTTAGGTATGATCAACACTAATTGTACCAAAAACGTAAAGCACCTTACCGAAACTGGTATGCAAAGATTACTGTGAGAACCAATTTCATTACCAATAACTGCTAGCGCTTCGAGGCGGAGAGTGCGAGAACACTATTACAAAAGCATTAAAAAGTTATAATATTTACCAACAGGGTGCAGCACTATTATTTTTTTGCAATTATGAAAACAGCTAATTTGAACTAATCAGCAGCAAAAAACTGTGATACGCAATGAGAACTGTCAAAGTAGTATTGTTTACAGTTATGTTTATGTTTTAAATGTAATGAATAATTTGTGATCTTTTGTGAATTCGTAATACTTTATTTTTCTTTATTGTTTAGGTAGTGCGTAAATACCATTAGTATACCGTCAATTTAAAGAAGCAATCAAACTTTCTCCTCCCCCATTGCAAACGTAAAACTTAAGTATTTTAAACTTATATGCCAACCCCGTACGAAGGACTCTGCTAGTATTATAAATGTGAAAGTCTGTGTGTTTGTTCGTTTGTAGTTCCCCATTTTAACCTTATGAGTATTCATACTTAAAGATAATTAAATAGTTTAGTCAGCTAGTAGAGACTCAAACATAACTGCCCCAAGCGGTTACTTAAAGCTTGGACGTGTTTGAGGGACGGAGGCTGCAGGAGTAGATCCTTCTGTATGTTGCGTGGAATTTTAATGAGGACCAACAATTCCTAGAAATTTAAGGTCAAATAATGTACAGATTTTAATTACCTCAACCTATTGTCTATATACTTTATACAATAAGATGTTTCTCTGTAGCCTCCCTTTTTTGCCCGTCCTACTTATTCAATTTTTACGATTTAGGTGTCATTTTATAGCTTACAATGTAGTGGAAGGACGATTTTTCTCCATCTCAAAAATAGTAAAACAAATCTCTGGTTTGTCTGTCCACTGGGGAACCTAAGTTGTGTGCAATTGCCGGGATTTTAAGCTGAATAGATGTTGTTTTTTACGACAGAATAGCAAACAAAATAAGTATACTTAATCCCTATGTTTTCACCAATCAAATTCTTGGGTCATATTTCACTTTTATTTGGGCCAAAACGTGCATATTGCTTCTCTATCTCAATTGGGGGACAGCTGAATTTGGTTTTAGTGGATACCAGTTGGGTTCTTGGGTAAATGTTCACAAATGTTTTTAGTTTTCCAAGATTTTTGGCTTGGATAGAAAATGTATGGCCGGTTTGTCAATCTGAACACCTAGACGCTTTTTTTGATGTATTAAATTTGAGGGTAAGTTTTAAAAAATACCTCTCGGGAACATACTTGTATGTAGCTTATTAAATACAGGGTGATTGATATAAGTGTGCCAGGTGTTTTATTCTAAAACTATAAGAGATATCAAAAAAAGTTAAACGGTAAGTGCCTTGGATTTTTTATTTAAAAAATTGTAGTCAAATCAAAAAAATATTTAAGCCACCATTTTTCCAATATGGCCGCCAACTTTGATTTTTCTTATGGAACACCCTGTATTTTATGATGTATTCTGGTAGAAAATGTAATTTTAAGACGATTTTATTCTTGTAATTTTTTTCATAAACCTAACCGTTTCAAAGATAATAATGGTTTAAGTTTTAAAATGTATGCATGAGGAAGAGTTTTGATAAAGGCCTAAGCAAGCATGCCAGCTGTTTTATTCGAAAACCATTCAAAATTTCACAACTTAAACCATTATTATCTTTGAAACGGTTGGGTTTATGAAAAAATCACAAGAATAAAATCGTCTTAAAATTACATTTTCTACCAGAATACATCATAAAATACAGGGTGTTCCATAAGAAAAATCAAAGCTGGCGGCCATATTGAAAAAATGGCGGCTAAAATATTTTTTTCGACTTGACTACAATTTTTTAAATAAAAAGTCCAAGGCACTTACCATTTAACTTTTTTTGATATCTCTTATGGTTTTCGAATAAAACGGCTGGCACACTTATATCAATCACCCTGTATGTAAACTCTTTGTTCTAACATTTGTCGTCTAAACAGCGCCGATTTATCGATTAGAAGTGGGCCTCGCTCCAGCTCCATCGAAGTAAGCAACTTCTAATCTACTACAAAATCCATAAACTTCCCAAACCTGGAACTGAAGACGCCACTAACTTTAACTTCTTTAATAAATCAGCAAGTTCAAACAAAACGTTTCGCACTTTCAGGCTTTATATTTATTTTATACGGGATATTCTTGTGGTTTAAAATTGAGTTTTTCACTGTTAATTTCCTAGTCATTCTAGATAATGTACAACTTTATATTTTCTTTGTATTTTTACTGCTATCTACACCTATTAATTTATTATTTGTACCTATTGTTGCCATTTTCAAATATAATAATTCGGTGGAATTTATGCAGAGCCAAATTTACATAGGAGTAATTTTTTTTAATATGTTAGAAATACACCTATAATTTTGCTATAAGGATTGTTCTATTTCAATTAATTTTGTTGACAAATCTAACTCTTGATAAATCTATTAAAACATCAAACGATGTGGTGTGATAATGCTTGTGTAAAGGTGTAACACCGCATAATAATACCGCTGCGGTAAAATCCTCATTACCAACAACGGTTAAAAGATTACAATCATGTTTATAGTCACTGCAGCATTTGTAAAGCAACGTTCAGTACATTATGTTCATGTGTGTGGAAAATGATCCCTTTCACACTCGTATGGTTTCAAAATATATTTGACTTTGATCGAAACCATAAAATTTCCGATCAATTTTGTTTGAGGCTGAAAGTTATCAACTCAATTATATGGTATTTGTATGTTAACTTCAGATTTGTTTATAAACAAAATATTTGTAGTTAAATATTATTGTTTGCTTTGAAAGTACCTCACTTATATTTTATGTTTACATATTTTATCATGATATTTTAGTTAAAATTCCACAACTCAGTAAAACATTATTGTCTAATAAATTAATATTTGTAGGATAGCTTTTACAATAATGTTCATGATCTGGGGAACTTTGAACCTATCAATACTATAATTTGTTTTGTTTAAGTTTTCTTTTTACAAAAGATATTGTGATTCTTCTATTGATTGAAAAATCTTGCTTAAGACTTAATATGTAGGTTTTATAATTTCGACGTAAATTGCTCTTACCATCGAAATGAAAAAAGTATTGAGAAATATTTTTACATTTTAAACATAATAAATAATTGATTTATTATTGATTGTAATAAATGGATAAATAATTTGCTAGATAAGACTGAAGCAGTCAATTATTAAACTAGCCTTAAACTTGAGTACACTTTATCATTTAACATAAACATGCAGGTAAAATTTTTAAAGTACGAGAATAACCAGTTAAACCAGACAGAATCAGATAGCAGTGAAACTGTCTGACATCAAGACAAAAACTTTGTTTATTGTGAACATTGTTATGAATGGACATCGGAAAACCATTTATTGGACATCATCCGAACGTCTGCAATGAAGTTTCTTACTTTGGATTGACAAATCATTGTTGACAAGTATTTCGTTTGGTATTTTATGTAGTCCCTCTGTTTACATAATTATAAATATCAAAAACTTGTATATAACCAAGTAAATAACTGAATACAAACTTAAATGTGGAATTTTTCTAGTGAGTAATATTGTTACGTTATTTTTCTTGATTAAAATTTGACGTAAATTTTTAAGTATTTTAATTAGTGGAAAAATCTATCATATTTATTATTTTAAAAGTAAGTAAGTTTTCTATTGCTTTAAATTCACGACTGAT